TAGGATATAATGCGCGAGATTATTACCCTTCGATATAAGGTATAGTTACTTAAGAACAGAGGAGGCAACGGATAAGTTAGGGACCTCGGAGAAGCAGTTAAACCAAAACAGCTAGGACCATTCGACGGTACTTATAGCACGCTTCGAGACTTTCTCACCTAACTTAAGGCCTACCACCGGTTTTACCCTACTAAACTCTCGGACCTAGTCGAAAAGGTACTCTACGTAGGAAATTGTTTATCTAGAACGGCACTCGCCTAGTTTAGACCTATTATAAGGGATTTTCTCGACAACTAACTAGCGCGACGAGATAACGAGATAGACGAAGTCTTTGCTAGTTTCTAAGGATTCGAAGAAGCTATTACGAAGGTATTCGGAATAACCGACGAGGAACGAGAAGCCGAATAGAAACTTCGAGAACTCCGACAAAGGATCTTAGCATCGGATTATACTGCGAAGTTCCGTTAAGTCACCTTAAAGCTTAATTAGGACGACGAACCTCTTATGTTACGATTCTACGACGGGCTTAAAGAAGAAGTTAAGGACGAGCTCTATAAGGAAAATCGACTTAACAACCTCTCGGACTATATTGCTATAGCAGTACGAATCGACGATAGATAGTACGCGCGACGCTAAGAAAAGAAATAAGGAAGAGGAAACTAGAACCCTTCTTATAGGAATAACTTTAACCGACGCGCTAACTATAAAAAGAAGCGCGAAACTCCTATTGCCTACGCTTATATAACTAACCTAGGCAGGATAGATCTAGATATAACATAGAAAAGCAAAGGAAAGTGTTTTAACTGCGGGAAACTTAGATATTACTCTAAAGAATACAGACAACCTCGCAAGGAGAAGAAAACCTACTAGGCACCAGCCCTAAAAGGTAAGAAACACCTAAACGCTACTAATAGACAGGAACTAAAGCATAAACTCCTTAGTTAGACTATATGCTACGACGACGAATGTACGGTATACTTAAGCGATAAGAACGGTACCGGATAGTTCCTAAAGCTACTAAAGAAAACCCTTGCAATAATACAACGAAGGGATCCTAAAACATAGAAATAAGTTAAATTCGTAGAACCGGAATACCCCTACCCTAAAGGAGTCTCCTAAGACTAGATTAGGAAGAACGGCAAACGATTCTAGGAAGACATGCGAAACAAAAATCGACAATAACGACGGGCAGTCTATAAACAATATAACAAAGAAGATACGGACGTAGCCCTTATGCTCACGAAACTCGGACAATAACCTAAGGAAGAACAACGAAGTGTCGATAATATAAGCTCTAAAGAACAAGAAATACCCGGAGAAACGGAAGACGAGAACGAACTTATACTACTACCCTCGCTACTAAGGGAAAATGCCACGATTAGAGAACACGCTCTATACTTCGAAGAATTCGAAGAAATGCTTAAAATTAGAACCTAACAAACACCTTAAATTCTCACGGAAAACTAATAAGCTGCACTAATTCGATATTAACCGGCACTACGCGGAGGAGACTACGCTATAGCTATCGCCGTAGTCGACACCTTTATAGCTCTATAACGAGAATAGCAACCATAAGGAGAATTTAAAGACGATCTATAAACACTACTTACTTATAAGCACTATAAGCATATTTTATAGATATTATGCGTCTACCTAGATTGCATAACATACTTCTAGATAAAGGCACGACACGACGCCTTCCCGGTTAGGTTCGAGGGATAAGTACTTTCGAAACCCTACTTAAGCATAGAACTAGACTACTGGAAAATCGATCAACGCTACCCGAACGACCAAGTTATATTATTAGAACCCGATTACGGCACGCTACTTAAATACCGCGATAATTACGGTTTATTAACGAGATATCTTTCGGAGATATGCAAAATCCATAAACACGCTAAAATAGAGGAATAGCATAACGCTACTCGCTCTAAGGCATCCGAACCATTAATCTTCTAAAGACTTACGCAACGAATTAAATACGACGAAGAAGATTATAACGAATACGCATACCCGAACTATAGAGTTTATAAACACAAAAAAGCACGAGTATAGTATAAACGATATAACGGTGCACTAAAAGATTATTGGCAATACGTACGAAGGCTATAAGCCGTATTCGACTAAGGAAAAATCGATACGGAAATACTACGCGAAAAATAGAAAGACGCTAAACGAAAACTCGACCTTTAGTACGAAAACGAATAGAATTGCGAAGCATAGTACGCAATTAACTGCGAAGCAGCGCAATGCAAACGATATAGCGTTAAGAAATAAGAAATCTTCGATTAGCTATAAGAACTTAGTCTCTTAAGCCCCGACACGATACTACGCGATAAAAATATAAAGAAACGATATCGACAATAAATCGAAGAAGAATACCTAAATAAAACGAATAAGGACTAGGCAAAAAACAAGGTACGCTATCTATAAAAGGGCTATAGACTAGCACGACACGATAAGATCTAAGGACCCTATGCATAGCAACGGCAAGCTATGGCAACCAAATGGTATTAGATATCTAAATCGCGGGACATTACGCACGCATACTTTTAGACTACGGCGCGATAGGCAATTACGTTTTACCTAGAGTCGTTAATCGTTACCGACTTATATAGAGATATAAGATAGATCTATATAAACTCACGAATATCGAAGGAGAGGCCTTTAACTATAACAACGGAATTATTAATATAGAGATTAATCACCTCGATATTAATATCTAGGGCTACGACGAACGAGTTAACTTCGATATTATAGATATTAGAGAACACGACCTTATATTAGGGCTTCTATAGCTATAGGAGAGCAACCTACTAATTAACTAGAAAACTAGCTAGCTACGTTAGAACGAAGATAAAATACTTCGAACACCCGTTAAGTTGCCAATGCAAGGGGCTTAACGGCTGAATATCCAGCCCGAAGGGTGAATATCGTATACCTGCACTCGACTTTCTTAAGGGGTACCCACTAGAACCCCCCTTCCGCCTTCAGCGGCTAACCAGCCGTTCGAACTACTTCTGGCAGGCCCAGTCTAACTATAACCCTATATCGTACCCCCCCCCCTTCCCTGTAGCTTGTAGGAAGACGACGTTTAGTCACGGTAGAGTGGTGGATACAGTGGATCGCTCAGCTGTTGACCCTGACGCCGTTGTTGGTCAGCGAGGCGCATCTTCATCCCTGTCTCATAGTTAGCCGTGAATGCAGTACGTAGGAAACGCAGGCGTATAACCTTCCGTCGGCGTGTGGTTATAGAGGCTCTGACGATCGAACGGCGCCTCAAGGAGTAAGCCTTGGAGCGAGGTAACCCGTGAGACGGCAACATAGCTAATACCGGCCTGGAAGTCGCGTGTAGCGAGATCAGTAACTATTTTATCCTTTGTTAGGCTCTGGCATTTGTGAACAGTAATAGCAAACGCCACGATTAGGAAACTGCGTGCGAGCGCAGGTCTCGTTGCCCACAAGGAAGTCCCGCCTGACTGGCAGGATGGGGTGAGATTTTCCTGCCCTCGTTAGTTGTTAGATACGGCGGTCCGTCGTAGCTATCAAAGTCCACCATAATAACGGCTGGGGGTCTTCCATGGATCGGCGCCTGCGCTCCAGGCGATATCGTATACAGTACCCTGAGCACCGTTAACTAGGCCAGCTGATTGCCACAGATTAGTCGTGAGCATCACCCTGGTGCCCTTAGCAACAGGGAACTTGTTAGATAGATTGCCAGCATTGTTGCTTGGTGCCTGCCCAGCGCCGTTGCCGTGATTCTTTGCTCCACTTGTATTGCCGGGGCGTTGAGATGCACCATATGCTCGTGGTTGTATTGGTTGACCCGTGCCTTTGTAGAATACACTCGCAAAGCGGTCCTGAAGCCGTCAAGCTGCCCGCGGTAGCCTGGCCTGTACCCGATTGCTAAGGAGGTTCCAGGATGGTATAGATAACTTTACATCACGCAGTTCCTGCAACGCCTGACGGAACTGGGCCTGATCATCACCAGCCTGGCGCTGTGCCGTGGTCAGGAAGACGGTGCGGTCAAATAGGCGGTAGGCCACCTGCCCTCTCCTTTCCAACGAAGACAGGCCGGTGCTAGTCGAATACAGGGGCTTTGTCGGACTGGTGGTAACTGGAAGAAATCGCCCACAAGCACAACGCTCACACCACCAAAGAACTCGAGGTTACGCTGTGGAAAGGCTTGTCGCAAACGGGAATCGATCCGCGCGAGCTGCTCAAGCCCTAGCATGCTCTTTTCATCGATAACGAGGTATTTGATGTGCCGTAGGCGGGACTGAAGGGCGGCTGCGTCGGCCGGGGGAAGGTCGGTGAAAGTACCGCCTACTGGGAGGCGCAGCAACGAATGAATGGTGCTGCCCTGTATCTGGTTACTCGCAACGCCTGTTGGCGCCACGCGGCATATAGGGCTAGGATTCGGCAGGGCGGCTGCCTGAAGATGGGAAGAAAGCACCTTGATAAGGAACGACTTGCCTGTGCCACCACCACCATCAACGTGGAGAAGGATTTGAGCAGGATTTTGCGCCTGGAAGTGGCCCATGAATGTGTCGTACACGAGCCGTTGTTGCGTATTCAGCGTATTACGCCAGTGAGGCCAAGGACCTCCACATCGTTGGCCATGGGGTGGCTAGCGATAAGGTCTTTCCAGTAGCCGTCTCGGAGTTCCGGATAAGTACCCACATGCTGTGTCCAGTCGTAATTGATGTCGATATCGCGGCGGCCAAGTAGGTCAAGATCTTCCTGGGTAAGGGAGTTGTCAGGTAAAAGGGCGGCGAGGCGAATCCAGTCTTCGTCATCAAATTCTTCCTCCACAGGCAGAGCCTCGTATTGATCATCTTGAGGCTGTAATCGAGCCTCTTTTGGCCGACCGTAATGGTCATCACCATGACTGTGATGCTGCCAACAATAGGAGAAGGCCTCAGCGTGAGAACCAAAAAGCTGGCCGTCAACTGTGAGGAGATCATCACCCCGCCGATGTGGGTGGTTTAATGTTAGCTTTACACGACAGTAATCTGACCACTGTTGACCTTCTGGATCAGCCTGATAGCGAGGAAAGTAAACCAGCACTCGAGGCCTGCCGTTAATGTTGCCTGGCTGCCATTGCTTCCACTTGAAGGGTCCCTAGGGCGGAAATTCCAGCATTTCAGGAAGGAGACGTAGCTTAGGTCCGCTAGGGCTTCCGGGCGTTGAGTGTACTTTTCGTAAACGTTGGGGGCCTCGTCCACCTCATCGCCGTCAATACGGAGGGAGCGGGAATGCCTGTCAGGATTACGACAGTCGACGTACAGGCAAGTTCGTGACCCTTCCTGTAACGGCAGGCCGAGGAGCAAGTGGCTGACCTCCTGCTTCGAGTAATCCCGCCCGCAACCAGCTGATTGAGGAGCTTTGACGTGAAGGAAATCAAGGGGTTGTGGTCCTTGACCCGGGGCATCAGGGCCTTCCCAATCTGGGCAAAAGACTCGCTCTTCTTTTCCGACTTGGAGCAGTATTTGGCCGCGTAATCGATTACCTGCTGTAGACTCGTGCAAGGCGAAACATCTGTATTGGCTAGCCACGCAACGGTAAGCAAGCGGTTGTAGTGGTTAATCTGGCCATCGTTCCGCTCGCCCCTAAAGCTCCAGTGTTTAGAGTGAGGAACCTTGTCAAGGGAGGCTAGTAGGCGCTGGCCGTGAGGAAATCCAAAGCGGCACTCCACCTGCTTGGTATGCTTATTGAGCTGCATGCAGTAGTTGTTGCAGCGGTGGCGTTGCACGCGGTTGACTACCATCGATAGGAACTGAACGGTAAGGGATGTTCCAGTAGATTACCGATCAGGGGTTCCTTCCCCAGGAGCCTGTATTCGCTGTGGCTCTGGGTTCACTGCAGATACGTGGTATCCCCAGATGCGAGCGAATTGCTCCCGGACTGATCGTTGTCAGGATCTAAGTCTGGGTGGCCACTTAGCCAATATAGGCCGTGGTGGTGACTGGAACCCCTGCCCTGCCACTCGTAGCGGCCCCAAGAGTCCGTTAGGTTGAACTTCTGCTTCAAGACAATAGCCCTAAACAGCGCATAACGCTTATGAAAGTGGTACGCAGCGATGTGGGCGTTGTCTCGCAGTAGTTGCGGGATAGAGCCATCCGCGCCGCCTCAGGAGCTGTTTGCCACTCGTCAAATCGAGGCATATGGCGGTATAGGGATTCCCAGTGGTAATCGGCTGCACTTGCAGTAGCGAAAAGGCCGGGCTTGCCTAGATTATAGGCATATGCTTCCAACTCCTTCCTTTGTTTATACCAATACGGCCGGGTGCCCTAATTACTGCGGCTTGGCGCGTGATCGACTGGATCAGGACCTGAGCCTCCGGCTCGTCAGGCTCAGCCATTGCTTCCTCTAGGTCGGCGCGTGTAAGGGGCTGACGGCGGCTGTCGCGTTGCTTGACGAGGTAGTCACTTCGCTTTCGGACCTGCGCACGTAACAGCGTGTTGAGGGCGACGAAAGGCCACGTCTTATGGCGGGCGAAACGTCCGTCATGCCATCTCATCGCATGGGCAAGGTAGTCCTGGAACGTGATGCTCCGTAAACGAGGCTCCACGAAGTCGGCCTTGCCGTCAGGGTAGAGGGTAGGGAATGCAAGCGTTAGCAGCGGCTGGGAACGGTTGAATTCGTCGATGGGGGTCCTGCGAACTGAAGGCAGCGGCATCTGGTGGTGAGCCTGCGCGTTACACGGTATATGCTCCACATCAGTCATACGCTCAGGTTAGGGTACCATCAAGAAATCGGGACTGCAGAGCGTTCAATTCGGTATCGGTAACCTGCAAATTCGGGATCGCTGATGCATCGGCATCGCTAGGATCCTCTTCCACAGCCTCCTCGACGGGGCCTTTGGGGACCTCGCCGTCAGGTATGTCAGCCACTTGGCTGGCAATGGAATCAACTATGTTGCCATCAAGAGGAAGCCGGTGCAAGCGATTCTGACTCACGACGATATCGCGATAGCCCCGGTGGTGGCGCTGTAGGTAGTGCAGCCACGCCAACAGGCATGAGCGGCGTACCCGCAAATCGCGAGCAAACTGTTGCCGGAAGCGAGGGCTGCCCTCCATATTAGGAGGCCGCAGGAGGACGACATCTAGCTCTTCAGGTAGGACCGGGAGCTCTTCAAATAGCCTGCCAACATTGCGAAGGAAGTGGACAACATGACCGCGATATTTATATTGAGCGCCACGTACCTGCAGGACCTTCACATGTACGTGAACTCTAGCAATGAGCATCTCCTCGACCATCGTTAGATCGGGTAGATCGCTCGGGACTTCCCAAAGTCAAGGTTGTTCGCAGCGCTAAAGAAGTAGGCTCGTTGGGGCCTTTCTTCCTGTCTCGACTAATGCAGCGGCTGCAGATTTTCGCTATTTCGCTTCATATCCAACCAACGCTCCTGGCAGCGAATGCAACTATGCATCTTGTCGTCATTCAGGGCAGTATAGAACTCGCGCACAAGGGCTCGATCCCCTCACAAAGGGCAGGCAAGTCAAGGTCCCCTGTAAAGGCGGATCAACTATCTGATCGAACTGTCGCTCTTCAGGCTGTGGCCGTGGCCGGGGTTAATGTTGACTCGACGTGTATAGCGGCCGCGGCGACGACTCTGTGGCAGTAATGAAGGAGGGTACGAGGCGATTCCTTCGGTATAGGCGTGCCTTGCACAACAGAAGCCGATGGGAGAGTGCCTTGAGGAATTGGCGTTTCTGGAATCGGCGTGCCCAGAACTACTGTTGGCAGGCCAAGGGTAGGAGGGTGGGGAAGGTCCTCTACCGCGCTTGAGGTAGATGGCCCCGGCAGAGGTCTAGGCAGTCCCTGGAGTGCGGGCGCCAGGGCACGGCATAACGTAGATGTGGCAGGGGGTCGTAAGACTTGCACACACGCAGGCGTTGGCGCAGCCCGCCTTGGAGGCGTCAGGTTAGCTAGAGAATCGGTCCGTTTCGTGGCTCTGCGTGGCGATAGCCTCAAGGCGAAATTCCGCATTGCGGCAACGGCGGCTCGAGATTCGGTTACCCGTTCCTTTCGGCGTGCCCTACAGCTAGCACAGTCTCTTGTAAACTTCGTAGGGTCCTTGACGCTTCGAAATTCGACTTCGGGCAGGTCTTGCTTGCAGGTATGGCAATTCCGAACTGCCTGGGGTATGTCGTCCTCCATCTGGCCGTATATGTATCCACCTCTTACCCTTCAGACTGCTAGAAGAGACAGAATAACCGGAGAATCTTGGGAGGTGGGCCGGCTGCCGAGGTAATAGGTGAACCTATAAACCGTTAGTAACATGATTAGTTTGATAGATTGGGCAGAAAGAGAAGCAGCCGCTATGTAGGTTAGTGTAAAGAGTGCCTAGCGACCCAGTAAATTGATGGCATGGATGGAAGAAAGGAAGAACTGGAAGCTCTTGGAGAGCCTGCCAAGCTGGCCAGTTACCTAGTCAACGCTCAGGGGTAATTTTTGCGGGCCTTCATTTGGTGACGTTATCGGCCGACCAATCCGCGCACGAGTTGAGCACAAGCCAGGCCAATTAGCCAATCAGAGGAGGTTTTATGCTCGAATCTTTCTGACTGAGTAGAACGCCCTTCGGGCTGAATAAGTTTCTAGGACTAGCAGATTTAGAAGAAAGTAAAATTTTGCGATAATTTAGCTACTAAATAGGACAAAAGGGATGACCGTTTAAGTAAATCATTACGGGCTTTAGCGATACGAACGAAAACAGCAACCGAACCGGCGGACATAATAAAATCGACTAATAAGACCTACGTACTAACTAACACGGCTATATAACCTAGCATCCGATATAAACAGAATAAAGGACATAATACGAAGATCCGAAGAGTTATTGCTACTCTAAGGAAAGACCTTAAATAAATCAATAAAGAGCTCGAGTTAAGAGAAACTAGCTCTTAAAAGAAAGAATAAAGCCTATAAGACAGAATAAAGAACATCCCCTAGGAATACCGGAAATACGATAAACTCTTTAAGGAAGAACTCGAGATAGGGTTACCCGAATATAGCTAATAGGACCACGAAATTTATCTTAAGGATAGAATAACGCCGACGTTCTATAAAATCTATAACCTAAACGAAAAGCAACTATAAACGCTACGCGACTACCTCGACGAGAATCTACGAAAGGGATATATATAAACATTAATATCCGAAGCAGGCTATCTAGTTATGTTTATTCTAAAGAAAAACGGCAAGCTACGACTAGTTATCGACTATAGACGCTTAAACGATATTATAATAAAGGACCGAACACTATTACCGCTTATATCGGAACTACGAGATCGATTGCATAGCAAAAAATAGTTTATAGCCCTTAATCTTAAAGGCGCCTATAACTTAATACGTATAAAAAAGGGACACGAATAGATAATAGCCTTTAGAACGAAATTCGGACTATTCGAATATCTAGTAATGCTATTTAGACTTATAAATGCACTAGCTACCTTCTAACGGATGATCAATAATGTCCTACGCGAACACTTAGACATCTTTATAGTAGTATACCTAGATAATATCCTAATCTTCTCGGACACCCTAGAAGAATATAAGGAATACGTCTATAAGGTACTCCGCGTACTTTAGAATGCGAAGTTACTAGTTAAACTAGAGAAAAGTAAGTTCTATATATAGGAAGTAGACTTCCTCGGACACACGATCTTACTAGGAGAGATACGGATATAATAAGATAAGATTAACTTAGTTAAAGAATGGCCAACGCTAAAGAACGTTAAGGACGTATAAAGTTTCCTAGGATTTATAAATTACTACCGACGATTTATTAAAGATTTCGGAAAGATTACAGCACTACTATACGACTTAACGAAGAAGGAAAAAGAATTTATATAGGACGATAAAGCCAACGAAGCTTTCGAATGCATTAAGACTACGATTACGCAAGAACTAGTCTTAACTACCTTCGATCTAGAACGACAAATCGAACTCGAAACCGATATATTAGACTTTGCTCTAGGAGCATAAATCAGATAAAAAGACGATAAAGAAAGACTACGACTAATTGCGTTCTACTCGAAGAAGCTATATAGCGTAGAACTTAATTACCCTATCTACGACAAAGAATTCCTCGCAATCATTCAAGCTTTTAAGGAATTTCGACACTACCTTCTCGGAAGCAAATATAAAGTTAAGGTCTATATAGACTATAAGAATATCTCATATTTTGCAACGACGCAATAGTTAAACGGACGATAGATCCGATAGGCCGAATACTTATTAGAATTCGAATACGAAATAATCTATAGAAAAGGAATAGAAAACGGTCGAGCTAATGCCCTTAGTCGACGAAGTAACTACGACATAGGGGCACCTATAGCGAAAGGACAGCTCCTAGAAATCAACGAAAACGGGAACTACTAGCAACAATAGCTAAACACAATATTCAAAGTATAACCCGACGACTCAATATACTAGAAGATCCTAAAATAGACAAAAGAACACGAAGCACTAAAAGGATGCGATATAGGACATTCAGAAGTTCTAATATACAAAAACAAAATCTAAATACCACTAGAATTACGAGATAAAGTCATATAAGATATACACGAACATCTAATATATAGACACCAGGGAATCCGAAGAATAATAGAACGGATTAGACGATAATATAACTTCCTATAGCTTAAAGAAGCAGTACGATAAGTTATTAAAGAATATAAACTTTGCGCACGAAGTAAAGCTAAACGACATAAACTATACGGAGAATTACAACCGCTACTAGTACTAGAAAAACTATAGGATTCGATAGCTTTCGACTATATTATAAAGCTACCACTATTAAAAGAACCTATAACTAACGTTAAGTACGATAGTATATTCGTTATTACTAATAGACTAACGAAGTACGGGTACTTCTTACCGTATAAAGAAGCAAGCAATATAGAAGAGCTAGTATATATGTTCCTACGAACTATTGTTAGTAATCACGGACTACCGAACGAGATTGTCTCTAATAGAGGAAGCACGTTTATAGCTAAGTTTTAGCAAGCTCTTATAGCATAATTAGGGACGAAACATAAGCTTAGCATAGCTTATCACCTATAAATAGATAGACAAACAGAACGACTTAACTAAACGCTTAAACAATATTTACGATGCTATATTAGCTACGAATAAAACGATTAGGTTAAATAGCTACTAATAGCGCAACTAGCTTATAATAGCTTAGTCACGGAAACAACTAAGCTCTTACTAGCATACGCCAATTACGGATACAACCTAGAAGCATTTAAGGTCACTCGATAAGGACTATAAGCGGAACGAGCGATACTATAAGTAGATTAGCTACGAAAATTATATAAAGAAATGCAATAAGAACTTTAATTCGTTAGAGAACGAATGTCTACTTACTATAATCGGAAAAGATTATAGGGACTAATCTTTCGAGAGGGAGATATAGTCTACCTCGTACGACGAAACATCAAAATAAAACGACTAAGCAATAAATTAGATTTTAAGAAACTTAGACCGTTTAAGGTTAAGAAAACTATTTTAAAAGTCAACTACGAACTTTCGCTACTAACGATAATAAGGATATACCCGATATTTCATATCTTACTATTAGAACTAGCACTACGAAACGCTAAACCATAGGAAAAAATCGAAGTCGACGACGATTAAGAATACGAAGTAGAACAAATACTAGACATAAGAAAACAAGGTTAGCAATAAGAATACCTTATTAAGTAGAAGGGATACGGACTAAAGGAAAATACCTAGGAACTACTTAAGCACTTAACCTACTGCGGTTCTCTACTCCGATAGTTCTACTAGGCGAACCCTTACTCGGAAATATAGGGTCACTAAGAATAGCATCCTAGTCTAATACGTCTAAGGCACTAAACGATTAAACCTCGCTAATAGCAATAGTTTCCTTATTTAATAAACGAACCGATTCGTCTCGAGAAGAACGCGTTATACTATCTTCTTTATTAATAGCTTATATACCCCGCTAAAACAACTTACTACCTCGGTCCTTTAGGAAACGCTTCTGTTTCCTAATCCGAGCTAGGCGAGCTATCGCTTCCTCTAACGCTTCTTCTGCTTTCCGTTC